CCAGTTTACGGGGTATGTCGTACGAGGACCGATGTAGGAGACTAGGGCTTTATCGAAATCCGTGAGAATATTTGTAGCTCGGGATACGGATGAGGGTATGCGGGTGTTCTCCAAGCTGGCTGATTTGACTGCAAACGTTTCATCGTCAGGCTAGACGACATCATCAGTGCACTGATGCTGTCGTCTAGCCTGACGATGAAACGTTTGCAGCCAAATCAGCCAGCTCGGAGAACACTCGCATACCCTCCTAGGGCTTTATACCCTGTCATATCATTGGCTTCGAGTTGATCTCATTATGACGTGCCGGTTATTGCACCTGATCCACTTTCTTATGTTGAAGCCGCTGCTGCACGTCTACGCACCAAGCAGCACACGCGGGAACCGGTACAAACTAGTGGTACCAGATTTGAAGCACATCGCTCACCGTCTATGCTTCCAGCGTCGAGTGGTGAGACGTTGGAACAAATTGTCGGAGACTTTCGTCGAGGCGAGATCGGTGTCGGAATTTAAGAGATTCCTTGAGGCCCACTATGCAGAGTACAGGTATAGGGAGCGTATCGCACCTGGATAAGATGCAGCGCAGCTGCAATATGCTGCCACCGCGCAGGAATCAGTGACCTGATTCCGAGCATGTGCCCGATCCACCTACGATGGAGCCACACAGATGTTTAGCTTCCCACTGTCTATCCTCAGTATTCAAAGCACCATACTGGACGGCTGTTTTGTTCGAGAACTCTGCATCGAAAGGGTACTAATCCAAACTAAGGTCGGTACTTCAGAACAGTTCATATGATTCAGATTGTTTGTCTCTCGACTAAGCTTACCCAGTCACTAGGACGACCGTCACCAGGGACTGCATTGTACCCTAACTGATACTTTCCTTCCTTTCCCATACTCAACATATTTCACCCCTACTACGGTGATTAAGCCACCGCAAGCCGTTTCGAATCAGGCTCATGCACTCGCGTCACCACCGGGCACACACGCGCGAACCGGAGTGACCACTCCGTTAGCGTTTACTGTACACTATAATGGAGGCGACGGATTCATGAAACAGCCACCAGCCGAGGCAACTTCGGGAAACGGTGGCCAAACAAGACGTTGTATTACAAGGGTACCGTTACCGTGAAGCAAAACTTGTACCATCTGAAACAATAATGCAAACAGTCGGATTAATTAAAATACAGTTGACGTTACTGGCATAAATACTTCACTCGGGTGCTGTCGAATACTTCTAGAGTACGTAACTTCCGTGTATACATAAAGATTATGCCGTGCCATACAGCCTAAATGCTCTTCTCGGAACAAAAGTTCACGTATGTTTCGGGTTGATGTACCAACCAATTCCGAGTGAACCATAACACAGACCTATGTTACTAGTGTATTGCAAGCATTCTGCTCTTCAGCCATATCAGTTTGCCCACCCGATTCCGAGCTGGAGATAAACCATCTGTGTTTGATGTATTGCGCACGAACGAAGCGCTCACTATTGAGAAACAAAAGATAGAGAGCTCTCTGGGGCAGAGCGACCAAGTAAAAATACTTTAGGACTGTGTGGGTTAAGCAGCACATCCACAAGACAATTGTGAATTGTTTCAAACAACCACACACCACGGCATATTAACAGACCTCGTTGGAGATGTCATCTGGGAGTTTTCGGACAAATATTCAGTTGGTAGTGCTTGGATGGAGTTTACTGGCAAGTTAAGTGATCTGCTTAAATATGCATCGGTCAGTAGGCCCTTTCCTTCTGCAAGCGCAAACTCATTCATTCGAAGCAGCACTGGACAATACATGACAGTAAGAGGAGCAGCGTGATGTGGGTACAGAGCAAATCTTAACCCTGACAACTGGAGCAACTATGTTGTGCATCGTTATCATTGTACCACACTTGTACGTGAGGACAAACTAGTATAGTAGCAGAGCTTAGCGGAAAGCTTTTGTGCTCACAATAAGCTTCTGTACGAACAAGTGAACAGCCTTCGGAAAGTGGGGTGTGGTGTTCCTCCACTCATCTCAACAAATGTAGGTGCTCAAACCGCTGAGAATATAGTCAACTTTCTACGACTACAATATTCCGCCGCTCTACCATCATGTATCACTTACCAATCCCATTCAACAAGACGCCAGTATTTAACAACTTCACTTCTATTTCAGCGATCGTTTTGTGGAAGCTGCGATCATTGGGCACCCATAGTTCTCCCGGAGTTGACATCATTCCCCCCGGAAGCACTGCAAATGGTAGCTACGATGATAGCTGAGGCATTAGCTCGATTTTCCAAAATTGCCTGGACGAGGTTTCATTACTTCGATGTTCAAGAGTGGTAGCCGTTTAGAGCCCCCAAACTATCACCCAGTGATTCTTCCCCAGGTGCTCCCAAATGTGACAGTGTCGATAATAGCTGAAGCAATAATGGGTTCTCTTTAAAGATCTAACATCATAACACCGTAGCAACACGACTTCCGTCAGCGTTGGTCATTTGCTAGCAACCTACTGAATGCACATGGCAGTTGGACCGAAACAGCGGATAATAGGACCGGAACGAACGTCATTTATCTGAACCATTCTAAAACCTTCGACCACTTAGATCACTGCATCCTTCCCAAAAGCTGCGAACCTGCGGAATTGGGCACCCCGTCCTAGGATGAATCGGGAATTCTTCTCTTCAAGGGTGCCATTAGGTTCAGGTTATGGTCTCGTTTTCTGCTCCTATTGCCGTAAACTGCGGTCTTACGCAAGGGTCAGTGTTGGGGCCGCAATTACTCTCTGTCTTCATTAATGATCTCGTGCCTAGCATCGAGTCATTTTTCCTGCTTTTTGTAGAGGACGTCAAGATATGGTGAGCGATCATCTGCCAGAAAGATAATGGTATGCCTTTAAATGGTCAAATCCACTTCCGTTTAACGCGAAGTGCAAAGCTGTGCATGTAAGGTACAAATCCACGTTCGCGTATCAGCTTGGCGACGACGTGCTGAAAACCGCCTCACAGGAGCGCGACCTTGCGGTGGTGATACAAAGCGACCTCGGTTGTTCGGCGCAGTCCTCGAGGTCGTCCCAACCGCAAACCAAAATGATCTCTTAAGGAGAGCGTTCGAATGGTTTGACCCCTCCATTTCCCCCCGAATGCTCAGTGTGTACGTGAGGCCCTGTGTAGAGCATACTAGCTGGTTGCACTGGAGACCGCATAGCGAAGCTCAACTAAACGTCTGAAGGGAATATTCCACCTGTGATATCATGTGCGACGGGAAGCTGTGGGAGTGTACAGCGGAAGTAATCGCCGTCTACGGGGAGACCTCATCTCGGCGTACTAGAACCTGAAAAACCCTGGTCACGCTTGTCGCCAACGCCTGAAATTTAGCAGCAACACAAAATTGAGATGTCACCAACGGAAACTGATCACTCGATACAGTCGGCTATAAGGTAGCTGGAATTAATTTTCTCCTCAAATTTGTCAACCGTTGAACACTTTTTCGATCTCTGTCATTTTTGCGCTGATGCTAACCGTTTTTAAAAGAACAAGTGGACGATGCTTTAGGCCACCTACACAATTTAATCTGGTCTCTGTTCATTGAGTGTCGACAAGACACAGACAAACATTGTGCACCCAACACAAATTGTTGAAGGGAACTAACTGCTTTAAATATACAGATATACTTGTATTTTTACTACGACAACTAAAATCCTGCTACTTATCGGTAATATAAAATAAATAGCCTCTCCTAGTTTCAAAATGCTATGGATATAGCGTCTAGTGAGAGGACGTCATCACCTCGCTGGTTAGCCACTGTCAGTGACAGTGGAAGATAGGCGGTGCTATATCCCAGTTAGCTTGCAACTTATGTCGCCCAGCGAACGTCCCCCGTGGCTCAGTGGCTTAAGGTGCTGACTAGTTGGCATCTGTCTCTAATGGTCATGGGTTCGATCGCCAGTTGGGGACCGAGGGAGTGCACACCAATGACGAGCCCCAAGAGGGCGAGACACGCCTGATGCTTTCCTGGGCTACGCTATGCTATGTAGCTTGTGAACTACTGGGATGAATCACTTAAAAAGCAAACTAAATATCCTGCTACTTGCAAGGGATAGACTTATGTGTTTACGTAAATAATATGGTGAGCCCACAGATGCACGTCTCAGTTTAGTGAAACTTATTTTTTTTGAACGGGTTTTATCAAGCCTTGGCTTTTATACGTATTCTCATACCATTGATACTGTTGGATTGTTGGCCAAACTAAAAGCTTGGGAACAAATAGATGCTCGTGACGTGACCTGTGAATGACCATAGTTAATAAACCGGGCTAACCGAAGATTGAGACCACGATAGACCAATAGCTAATGGGTCACCTGCTGGTGTTTGTGTTTACAAATAGACCAACTTAACCGTGGGGACTTGTATCGCCTATAATGGACAGTAAAATGCTTGAGCACAGTGCGAACACAGAGTCGATGCCGTCACTACATGTCTCGTGAACGCCCGAGTTCACAGTGCTTGTTCGTCGAAGTGAATTATAACGGGTGATTCGTCCATGCGCACCCGTATTTTTCAACACATTTCACCTAGCTATACTGACCAAAACGTTTGCTGCCCCGGAGCAAATTTGTAAAAATTTTCGATGGCCAATTGGAGTCTAGAAGCTTAGCAAATCGTTTGATGTTCTGGATGCACCGCGTATTTCATTGTAACCGACGATCCACTGCACTGTTGTTAATCTAATAGCCACGGACTGTCACCAGATTTTAAGTTATCCAACTATTTATATGCTTTGTAATATGTAAATTGTTCTATCATCTATTGATCTGTAAACGCACCAGGAACCGAGAGTGCACTCCAGATCAGTAAATGGCCTCAAAAGATAACACAGAGTCCATGATGTGCATCACACTGTCTGAACTAATCCGGTATCGCTACTAGTCAAGACCTCTGAAACGGATGAACTAAAAGAACTGTGTACAATATTGTTGTTCCCACCCAATCTAAGAGTATGACTTTGATTCAACTTACTGTAAATAAGTGGAATGTGTGCAATATACTGCTCTTCTGATCCGAAAAGATGAAGGGGAACTCAGTTAATAGGAGGGATGTTTTATCAGCGCTCCTGTCTCCGGGGATCGAACGTCCATTAATAAGACACAAGGAGCTCCCTGCTCTCCTTGCTTCCCTTCTGATAAAATCCACACAATTGCATAACCATACTATTCCGCTACGATAAGATGTTTTGATCCAGTCCTTCGAAAGCGCATAGCATCCACCTTCCAAGGGCGAAAGATCGATTACACATCCCAAGGAACAAAGTTGAATAGAGGTCGCTCCACTAGCATCCAAGTCAGTCATGGACATTCGTGGACCATAATCCGCAATCATTCCTGAATCGAAGCATATTCCTTCGTAAACAAATGGATTGCCTTCGCCGCTGATGCTGACTCCACGCTGGTTGATTCCCCGCTCTTGGATGGTTGAATTCCGTAGCTGGAAAAAGTAGAATTATTCCGGTATAAACGCTTATCGCCTACCTCTGCAAGATCTTTAAAATTGATTTATTCATATGGGCGATTCCCTTTCTTTCAGGAATGGGGATTCACTGTCAAAACCATGGCTGCTAAAGAGGAAATTTCGTCGTTATCAGGGACAGTTTTGCTTCAGGTAAACTGTCATAATGTTATAATCTTAACACTAGACGTGATTCCGAAGTTGGCACTTTACTGCTCCATAAAACTTATAGCCCAACCGAAGGAAAAAGCAGAACGTCAATGACCTTGACAAAATAACGTATTAATCGCCGCCAACAAACACTGTACAGCTACCGCGGACCTCGGCTATATTTACAGGTCTCTTACTGACCTTCGACCTCTAGAACTGGAAGGTCAGCTACCAAGGTTAGTGGTTCCCCATATCTTTCATCTAGGTCTCAGGTGGTTTTTAGTCACGTGCAGAACTGGGACATTCAGGAACGTTCGAAATATCTGCGATAATCGTTAATAATCGATTGATTGCTAAAATTGAGGATTTCCTACGCAATTCTTACTTTTGCCCGGGCACCTCCTCTCCTGTGATATCGTCCGAATTATTCGACGAAAGCCTAGGAGTAACTTACATTCTTCGGGACGGTGTTCTCTGCCTGTCGGTCCGTCTCCTTGGCAGAAGTGCTCGAGAACTGGGTTCCGGTGTCCGTGTTCTGGACTCTCTGCTCGACTGTGTGCAGTCGTCACTGTTACCTTCGGCAAATTGAAGCTTTCCATCTATAAATCGAACGCGACGTAAATAGGCCTTGCTTGTTCTGGTTGGCACAATGTTTTCCGTAACTGGTTTGCATGCCGTGTCCAGATCTGTGCGCCCAGGTCATACATGACGTTTCTGCGCTTGCTTTTGACCGTCCCTGGCGTCCATTTCTCATGGCCTTCCCGATAATCACGTACTAGCATCTTCTGTCCAAGCGTAAACGATCGATTCTTTGCTGCATACCGCCTGTTAAAATCCAGTTCCATTCTGCGGTTTCATTCACCAACAGAGGATTCCGAGCGCGGTCGGATGACGTCGAAAGGTATGCGCAGCTTTCTGTTCATCATAGCCTGTGCTGGAGAAACTCCGTCTAGCGCTTGCGGATTCGGTGTTGATTGGTAGAGAAAAAGGGAACCTGTCAACCACCTCCTCTATACGTCCCTCCCCTTTTTATTTGTGGAGAGTTCGCTTGAAGGTATCAACAAACATTTCTGACTTGCCATTCGACTGTGGATGAAAAGGCGGAGAGCGAATGTGCGGACGGCATTGCTCGCAAAACTCCGTAAACGTTGCCGAAGTGAATTATGTATGTATGTATGTATTCTCAACAGTCTATTAACTAGACACGGAGCCAGCAGTGAATTATGTGCTATTGTCAGTTACAATTGTCTCAGGACAGCCGAATCTGCTAAAGGTTTGGCGCAGTTTGGATACAGTGGCACTGGTGGTTGTGCTGTATGAGTCGACTATAATGAGGAAACTTCTGACGTTGAGCAAACCTGCAAAGTCGACATGGATGCGGCACCATGACTTAGTAGGTTTTGGCCATGAATAGAGTTCTGATTTTTGTGGCGCTTTCAAGACATTGGCACACTTTTGGCAGCTTTTAGCTATTTCTTCTAGCTGTTTGTCCATGAAGGACCAGTATACATAACCGCGAGCAAGCGCCTTCATCCGGTTGATTCCAAGATGCCCGGCGTGGAACTGCCGAATAAGACGCTTCTAAAGACCTTGGGGATGATCACTCTTTCCGAAAATAGTATGCAGTCGTTTACAATAGATAGCGAGTGTCTCCTCTGGAACTACTGTAGTAACTCTGCAGATCGGCATGAACGTGGCCAACTTGTTCTGTGAAATTGTGTAACATTCTTGAGTATTGGATCCCGAAGTGTTTCGGTTCGTACAGCTGCTGCGGTAAGTGGTAGACCGTGCAATGCATCAGTTACCAGAAAGTTGACGTCAGGTTCAATCTCGACCGAGGCAATGATTGTGTCCTCATGTCCTTGCTGGTGGGCGTCAAGTAGGCGTGACAGTGCATCCGCTTGGCTAATAGAAATTGTCGACTGGTAGTGGATCTCGAAATCATACCCCATTAAGGTATGTTCGACTCTACTGCGGTATGTTCGACCCTACTGTACGGTTTCGAAACCTGGCCCCTAAGATCAGCGGACATAAAGAGCCTAGTTACGTTCAACCATCGGTGCCTTCGCAGTTTGACACACATCTGGTGGGAACACCGCGTGAATAACGAGCGTGTTCGACACCTTGTTTAAGGCACAGAAAAAGGAACTGAACCGCTCAGCACCGTCATTTCACGCACCAGGCTCCGATGGTTCTGCCACGTGTTGCGTATGCCAGCCCACCGGCTTCCACGACGTGCGTTGTTTGCTCACCGGGGATGTGGATGGAAGCAGAGGAGGCGTGGCCAGGCGATGACTTGGTCCAGAGGAATGAAGGCCTTCACTTCGGAGCTGGCCTCGGTTGGAGCGTCACGGCTCCCTGGTTGGGGTCCAAAAGACGTTTGGCTGGATACACTTGCTGACATGGCAAGGAGCCAACCTCAGTGGCGTTCCTGCTGTTAGTTTCTTTGTCCCCCACATCCCTTTTAACCTCCCCATCCACCTACGATCCCATTCCGTAGCGTAAAACAATAATTTTTCTTTTTGTCTAGTAGACGGCCGGTAGCTAACCGGAACAATGCCAATCCGTTGCTGGTGGCTCAGCTGGCGTGCAACTTTTGTATTTATTTTCTGTTGCGGGCCCGTCAAAATCCCCGCAAAAACGTGCGAGAAAACCCGGCAGAATGGCAGTGGGAAGCGGGGTCCAATTCCTCCCCACAACGTAGCAGGGATCAGCCACTCCGAGACGCGGCCCAATTGCGCACCTTTCGACAATGCTCATTTGCAAACTATCACCTCTTCGTGGTGACCGTTTTCCCTAACTTAATAACCCATAGCACTGACTGTAATTGCCCTTTGTTGGTCGTAAAAGAGCCTACAGAGGACAACTTGCCTTTTCTTTCTCTTCGCATCAGTTGGGAGTCGGTCGGGTCACGTGATTGCGTGTGAGTCGTTAGCTGGCCAGCCTTCGCGTCTAAGTCATTAGCGCGCGTCTATCGTAACCCCCACTCGTGTGCGTCCGTTCCGAGGGCTCAGCGTCTATCCGAACACGTGAGGCTAGGATCGTTCACACGCTCGCTCAATTTTCCCTCTCACCGGCTAAGCTAGCGTCATCAGGTCAGCGCAACTCCGTTCGATTGGCCAGCGTTACAAGTCGTCATCGTAGGCGTGCTCCAACCGTGCCAGCGACAAGCTTATCAGGCAATACGCAATCATAACAGAGGCGGCGTTCCCTCAATTATAATATTTTCCTTTTCCTTTATGTATTACGGCAAGTAGCTGAGGTGTTTCCCAACTCTGGATGACGTGTGTAATAATGATGATGAAGGAAAATGCCCAGCATTGTAGCCGGTTGGCTTTGTAGGCGGGGATGCCCTTCTTCGAACCCAAGATAGCCAGTAAGGGCTTATGATCTGCCAGACGCTTGAAGCGGCAGCCGTATAGCATTTTGTGGAATTTCTTGACCGCGTACACTATGGCCAATGCTTCTTTCTCAATCAAGCTGTAGTCCCTCTCAGCCTTCGTCAGTGTTCTGGCGGCATGGTTAATTGCTTTCTGAGATCCATCGGTGTACGTGTGTGAAAGTACTGCGCCAATCCCATGGCTTGATGCATCTGTGGTTAGGACAATCTCTTTGGAGGGATCAAAATGAGTCTAAAGCAAGTCTGAAGACAGCAATGTCTTGACCCATTTGAAGGCATTCTGGCATTCTGATGTCCGGTTCCAACTTTGGCCTTTGGCTAGTAGCTTGTTTAATGGGGCACGCAGGCGGTGCATTTCAGGTAACAATGCGATGTAGTGGCTGATGAGCCCACAAAAGGAACGCAAGGACTGTAGATCTGTTGGAGGAGGCATTTTTCTACTGGCATCTGCGTTTTCCGTATCTGGTCGACGTCCATCATTTTCGAGGATAAAACCGAGATATTTGATGATCGGCGTGCAAAATTTACATTTATCTTCACGGATCCGGAAACCGTGCGACTGTATACAACAAAGCACTTCATTCAGGCAGTTAAACATTTCTTCCGGTGTTCGATCCACCACTATGATATCATGCAGATATGCAGCGGTTCCAGTACCACATGCTTGCATGGTATCCATCAACCGTTGGAAAATGGCTAGCGCCGTTTTTACGCCAAATGGCAACCGATTGTATTGGAATAGCCCACGTTGAGTGTTGATCGTCAACAACTCCCTCGAGACTTCGTCAACATCCACTTGAACGTAGGCGTCAGATAGATCGAGCTTAGCAAAAACTTGCCACCATTCAGCTTTGCAAAGATACCTTCCGGTACAGGTAATGGGTATTGGTGGTCGTTCAGCGCGGCGTTGAGGCCATTTGAGAAGTCAGCGCAGACGCGTACTTTGCCATTTGCTTTCTTCACTGCGACAATAGGTGCGGCCCATGATGAGTAGTTGACAGCTGTGATGACTTCGGCCCCTTTCAGTTGATCGAGTTCTTGATCAACGGTTGTCATGGTTGCATATGGCACCGGCCATTCAGGTTTGAACAATGGTTCAGCACCTGGTCGCAAGTTCAGTGTCGCCTTGAATTTCATACCATGACCCAAGCCATCCTAAAAGACAGAGGCAAATTTCGGTTTCAGGGTACCTGTCATGTCTTCGACGGATTTTGATGACGGGTCTGGACTTGCTCGAAGTTGGTTGCAGATCTGATTCAAGGGAACATCGAGGAGTTGCAACTTTTCAATCCAGTCGAGACCAAGAAGATTCAAATTCGGCCGGCCTGAAATGTAGCATGTTCCCGACTTTTCTACACCTTGGAAAGTAATCTTGCAATTGAGTTCGCCCACTAAGTTTAACACACCGCCGGATGCATTATGTGCA